ACTGACCGGCACGGCCTGCTCGTGCAAACTGAACTGACCGGCACGGCCTGCTCGTGCAAACTGAACTGACCGGCACGGCCTGCTCGTGCAAACTGAACTGACCGGCACGGCCTGCTCGTGCAAACTGAACTGACCGGCACGGCCTGCTCGTGCAAACTGAACTAACCAGTACAGTGAACAGCTGTACAGTGAACTTGGAATTACACTTTGCTAACTCCGAATTATCACCAATTTATCAGCACAAATCCCACACATTTTCTATGCAAGTCACTTAGTGGAATCTGTGGGACTCCCAATTTACCGGACATGTCCAGTTCGAGGTTCGAATTATCAGAATTTTTTATGTGGGAATCGTATTGATAGAAATCGGTCCTGGAAAAACTTCTAATTAAGCGGTATGTTCGAATTAAGCCATATTCGAATTATCAGGATTCCTGTATAATTATTTTTTCAAGCATTTCACTCTGAAAACACACCTCTCTGTAGATAAACCTTGTTATACATACGAGTTCACTGTTTCCGAACACAGTGTCCATGGTGTCCTCCACCTGGTTTCATGCTGTCATACTAACAACATGTACACACCAGTATGATTACGAACAGACCAGTACATGTACTCATGATACTAGTAGTGCATCATTGATGCCAACGCACCCAGTTACTCCCATTCATCCTGGGAAGCTACTTCCAACCGCGCTGCTAACGCGAAGAAAAAGAAGTATCGTCAGGCCTCCGAGGACCTCCGTGGGTCGTTCACACCACTGGTTTGTTCCACGGATGGGGTGCTACATCGCGAATACGCCAGCTATCAGAAGCGACTTGCTGGTCGCCTCGCCCTCAAGTGGGACAAGCCATTTTCTATCATCATGGCTTGGGTGCGAGTTCGCAGCCAATTTGCTGTGATCCATGCAGTCGACCTCCGGCTACGCGGGTCTAGAAGGCGCCTGACAGGCCTGTCGACGCAGGATGGTGCTGGGGTAGGCATCGGCCATTGAAAACTGAATTCCGTCCGTTTTACGTGGAATTTCTTGGAGTTTCCCAATGTATTGTACTTGAATAAAATTCTATTTTAACTTTCATGGTATCTCAATTATTTTTGTCACGTCTACATGACTTTATTTTGCCCGTAAAAGAGGCCGTTACCCCGTAAAAAAAAAAAAAAATGATACTAGTACCTGGAAGTCAGCCCGCAGAGGACATCGCGAGCTGCAAAAGTGCTGGACAGCCAGAAAAGGACACCAACGCGAAAACCAGTACCAACATGCGAGAGTGTTAGAAATTTTTTTAACAGCAAATATCGTGTCGTTCCCGAAGGATGGTGAAGCAAGAAGCAAGGATGGTGAAGCAAGGAAAAAAATTGTAACATGGAATTTGGACAAACGACGAGGAGACAATAATTTGATAACCGCAATCAATAAGACAAGCTGAATTATGCAATGAATATAACTAAATGCGCACTCATATCACAACCATGGGGACGAATCATGTATTCCAGAACGTTTTCTTGTCACAATTATCAATGGAATTCGTGACTAAAGAGAATGATGAAACTACAATAGGATTTATACACTTGGAGTGGAACAGCGAGGATACAAGCATAGTAAGAAAAATAGCACAAACCTAGGAACAATTTGCACAGGTAATAAACTATAGGTGAGGTGAGAAATGATAGGAAATTCAGCAAGTGCAGTGTGACAATGGACATGCATTTGCAAGTGTGTGTGAGTGCGAATTTACTGGAATAGCGTAAGTGCGGTGACATTTTCTTTTTGTTTACAAAGATTTGGATCACGAATGCGAATGTAGACTGCTTCTAGAACTTTCAACTGCTTGAAACTACTTGCAGAACGAACAACACTGAACCAAGAATCATCATAACTTTCACGACACACGGGGTTAGACAACAAATGCAATTTAATTGCCGATGTATTCTTCTTCTTCTCACCGCCTCTGCCTTCACTTGGTTTCTGACCGCCACCGTCCTTCACACCATCTGCACCATCATCGTCATCATCGTCATCGTCCTCTTCATCATCGCTGCCACCTTCACCTGTCGTCGGCTCTCCCAGCAACTGACCACCGAGTTCATCATCGTCACTGCACACGTCGCTTCCACACTCCTCCTCCAGCTGCCCTCGCGTTCTCTTCCTGACCGGTCTTCCCTTGCCATTGCAAAACACCTGACAGTCGTTAACTCTTCCGATGGCATCATCCATATCCGGAGAGTTTCGTTGCATCTTTCCAGTCACCTCTGCAAACCGAGCTGCCGCCAGCCGTTTGCTCCTTCTCAGCTTTGGTGAGTTGCGGTTGTCTGCGTCCGGCGTACCGGTACTCGCTGATAATGAAGATAAGACACAGTGTTCGTCTTTGTTTACATTAATGTTTGTTCCCAATTTCTGCGTGCTGTGTTGGTTTTTCCGAGACACCGTTTGTGGAGCAGAAGCCTCTGCCGGAACGGACAGTGGAGTCGGGTGCTTACGTGGTCGGCCACGCTTTGGTCGGGAGGACCTAGCCGCCTGTGACAATAGTGAGAGCGGCACGTGTTGTTTGATACGTTCGGACAGATGTTGAAGGGTCCTACCAACATACCGACTACCACATTGTCGGCATTCAAAGTAGTAAATGAGGTGACTCAATTGTAGGGTTGGTAGGACATCCTTCAACATCGTGAACGAACGGGATCGTAGTGAACACGGTAACCACATTGGTGGCAAAGTAGGTTTTCTCCACTAGGGATTTCACCACACGGGCCGTGTCCCTCGACTCTTTCCCTTTCCAGGGCAAGCAAAGAAATACGCGGCACGGCAACGGTCCGATAGCTCGTTCCTTAACAACAGGTGTAGTTGTTAGAAGCTTGTCGAGGAGCTGCTGCGGGTAGCCATTCTTCACAAATACGGAGCGTAGAAAATCAAGTTCCTGTTGTAGCTTTGTTGGTGAACATATGCGTTGTGCCCTATTTACAAGGTTACGAACTATTAGTTTGACTTGTACTGGGAAGAGCAGGACGAGTCAAACATCATGTACTGCCCGGTGAAAGTGGGTTTACGGTATACTGTAGTCAATACACCAGTCTGGGTCTTTTCGACTAACACATCCAGAAAGTGCTATTTTTCTTACTATGCTTGTATCCTCGCTGTTCCACTCCAAGTGTATAAATCCTATTGTAGTTTCATCATTCTCTTTAGTCACGAATTCCATTGATAATTGTGACAAGAAAACGTTCTGGAATACATGATTCGTCCCCATGGTTGTGATATGAGTGCGCATTTAGTTATATTCATTGCATTATTAAGATTATTGTCTCCACGTCGCCTTTTTACAAGCTGAATTGACATTTGTGTATACTTTATTCATGCAATGCAAAACGGTGGAGACAATGTGCAATAAAACGATGAAAATAGGAGGAAATAGTGTAGAAAAAGAATCCTTATTTTTCTCTACAATATTTTCTCCTATTTTCATCGTTTTATTGCACATTGTCTCTACCGTTTTGCATTGCATGAATAAAGTATACACAAATTTCGATTCAGCTTGTCTTCTTGATTGCGGGTATCAGTGGATTTTTGGAATCTTTGGAATTCTTTGGAATTGGCACCAATGTCCATCCGTTATTCGCGAATTGTCGTTATACCCGCAGTCGTTATTAGCAAAGTTGACTGTACTGATCAAAAGCTTTCGAAGGACAGGTGTATCGAAATTCGAAGCAAACTTGTAGCAAACTAATGAATCCCGCTCAGTGCAATTCTCAACAAGAGGCAGACGCTAGCTGTATGCGAACTATACCTGTGATCATTGAAATCAGACCTAAATTGGATATTTGGCGCCCTCAACTTACACGGCCCTGGACACCCCAAAAGTGGCATGAATGCTTCTGAACGCCACGCTACACATGTACAAGTACATACTCAGTGATGGACTGGGAACTGGTAGACTCTACAGGGTGCCAGCTTTGCACTTGGAGTCGGATTTCAGTGAGCGCAACTCAGGCCCGTAGCAGCCCCATTTTGGTTGGTCCGGCAAGATCCGACTTCGATGCTCCCCCCCCCCCCCCCCCCCCCCCCTGAGCCCACACTCATACATATGCCGGTACATGTACAAAATGTACATGATTGTACTTCGAAGCAGAGAGCCCTACACATACACAACGCTGAGCCTGGGAAACATTGGCCGCCATCCTACTTGCGTCAATGACCACTCAGGGCCATATTGAAGTGTCACAGCAAGCCAGAATTATGATAAGATGACTCTCACAAACGATATTCAGCATCGATTAACTCTTTTCATCATTATCTCAATCAATATCTGTACTGATGTGTGATGAGAACTCTCAGCTACTTTTTTTTTTTGAATGAGTCAAACGTCATGCACAGTTTCTGTGCCCGTGTCACCTCCCGGTATGTGTAGGGCTCCCTGCTTCGAAGTACATACATAGTCATTGTATCAAGAGTGCATAACCCCCCGTGTACTCTTGATTGTACATGTACATGCATGTAATCGTGACCATGCAGAGTGACATAGGGCGAGAAAAGGAAGAAGGACGTTCGGCATGAGTCAGGAAAAAGGGCATCAGCATGTTGTGTCCGCCCAAACAGAACTTGTTGAAGCCTATGAAGGCATAGCAACCGTATTTAAATGCATGTGATAAAAGAACCAGAATGGACCTTTGGAGGAGGAGAAAGGATATTGCAATGGAATATCTTTGGTACAAACATGTCCCATGTGCACCGAGTGTTATCCTGCTGACAGCATACACTATATGTAGGGTAAAAATCACACCTGCATGCCGAGTGTAGGCCTGACCTATACCATGTATACAGCCCACAACCGTCTATCAATACAAGGCGGCAGGCGCACGGTCATGGCTGGCAGTAAGGCTCTCAGTTTATGGCGTGCACAACACACACAACAAGAAAGGCTCACCGAAGCATTTGCTCTCATTCTAGTACCTGGAAGTCAGCCCCCCCCCCCCCCAAAACCGACACATCCTCCTCTGCCACTGATTTGGGTGCTGTACAGTACATGTACTTACTGCTGCCTTTGCTTCTAGATGCCAGTATAATTATGTGGAGCGAGAAAAGAAAAGAGAGAAAAAAATGAACGCGTCAAAAACCGTCAGCAACAACAGCCACAAACGGATACATGCGCACAGAAATGGACAAGAGCAGAAAGCAGAGGACATCGCCAGCTGCAAAAGTGCTGGACAGCCAGAAAAGGACACCAACGCGAAAACCAGTACCAACATGCGAGAGTGTTAGAAATTTTTTTAACAGCAAATTATCGTGTCGTTCCCGAAGGGAACTCACGACGGCCGCTAACAACAGGTGAAACCTAGCGGCAGATACAACGCCTAAGCTAAAGAGTGCTAGAAGCGTAAAAGAGAGAAACTCGTTGGCTCATGAGATTCACGACACAAGTAATACATTTTATATACTGGTAAGTCGTGAAACACAGAGGCTAAGATGAGAACAGAAAATCGAGAAAAAAATGATAAACACAAAACTAAGCCCCACATTGCATTGCTACATGTACATAGAATGGCATAACAAAAACACAGCTCAGCTCACTCCAGATTCCACGGGCGCCTGGCCACGTGCTCCGGCCCGTCGGTACGGAAAAGTGTAAATGCACCCATGCATGAGAGCGAGACTCTTATCCCGTGGTGGACGGGGGCGAGGTGCTGCACCTTTCTGCTCGCTTCAAAGACACTTGCAGCTTACTGCCATCACTCAAGATCCAGCCATTCATTGTCGAAATGGCTTGTGATGCCGACTGACGGTTGGCGAAACTCACGAAACCTACAAGAAAGATCACAAGAAGCGGTACAAAGGAAGCAACCAGGAAGAAAAAAGAGGCAAAATAAGAAGACAACCTGGTATAAACTACAGAGACTATTATTACAGCAGAGTGCTGATTATCCCAATGTGAACTATCCGAACAATCACTTATCCGAAATGCCTCTCAGCTCTGAATTGAAGGAATAATGCGACAGATTTTGTTGATCAGTCTCCCTACCCGCAGACCCTTTCAAAGACGTGCACAGGAAGTACGGCAATAGTTTGTCTTGAAAAGGTATCCCTGAGCCATCATTTTGAAGAGCTTAAGTGCGTGGATTACCTCAAGCGCTGTCAAAGAACATAAACAATAATGTAAACATGAGGGAATATGCGTGTTGAATGCGTGCCTGAACCATTATCCAAAGCCTATGTAGAGGGCCTTGCACCCGGATCATCACCACCCTACAGTCCACCCACACGCTAGGGCTAAAAACAAGGACAATGAACAATTGCCAGAGTATTTTTTCGTGGAGATGAGAAAGATATGCACGATGAGTGAAAAGAGCATTAACAAACCTTCCTGAACATAACCAATGTTACGTGCAAACATGAACAGACTTCAACATTAATTTTGTAGAATTTGTTCTATTCTTCAATGACCCTCGGCACTATACAACAAAGAATTAATAGAATTAAATAAAGAGAATATTGGAAAATTGAAAAAAACACGTAACTCTAATAGATCAGTCGCGGAAGTGAAGTGCCTGAAAAGAGAAAAATTCGCCAGACCCACCAGGACTCGAACCCGGGACCTTGCTCGTCATGAGCAATGCTCTAACCACTGAGCTATGGGACCAGACTGAACCTAGAAGGCGCTGACAAGTTTTTCACTCCAAAGGCAGCTCACAACACGTGCCACACATACTGATGGCACTTGGGTCTTTTCCCTCCCCCAGGAGACCAACCACGGTCAGTTTCTGGACTCTACCAGAAGTGAAAGAAAGTGATCAATTTTTAAAGGGGGGGGGGGGGAAGAGACCCAAGTGCCAGCAGTATGTGTGGCACGTGTTGTGAGCTGCCTTTGGAGTGAAAAACTTGTCAGCGCCTTCTTGGTTCAGCCTGGTCCCATAGCTCAGTGGTTAGAGCATTGCTCGTGACAAGCAAGGTCCCGGGTTCGAGTCTTGGTGGGTCTGGCGAATTTTTCTCTTTTCAGGCAGTTCACTTCCGCGACAGATCTGTTGAATTTGAAGTTCTCCCAATCCTTTAAAAAACTATAATAGAGTTTTGTAAAAAAAAGAAAGAAAGAAAACGACAACACTTTAACATAGGTGAGAAATGATTTTAAAACTGCTAAAACTCAGACACAGAAGCTGCCAGTTGTTTACAAACGCGTGCAACACATCAGGAAACACTGGTCACGCGTTCACCAGGTGTGGCACCAAACAAGTGCAACGATGGCACATTCTCCTTCTCTACACATAGTTCTGGATCTAATTTACCAATATACAGAGTAGGCAACGAGGCCAGACAATAGCACAGGGCTGTATATTGTTCTGAGTTCTGTTTCAGTTTTAGTACTTCTTAAAATAGTTTCTCATCTATGTTGAAGTGTTGTCTTTTTTCTCAGATGGTGAAGCGAGGAAAAAAAAAGTAACAAGGAATTTGGACAAACGGCGAGGAGACAATAATTTGATAACCGCAATCAATAAGACGAGCTGGATCGACATTTGTGTATACTTTATTCATGCAATACAAAACGGTGGAGTGGAAAGCCGTTGGTTAGCGCTATCGAGCAGTGCTCAAGCTGACTCTCATGTCGTGGAATGTCTCAGTACTCCTTGTCAGCTTTGTGCTAGATTGTGCACATCTGACCATTCATAATCTGGTTTAGTTGGTGGACTCGATCGCATAACTAACTGTTACTTGCGCCCACATTTTTCCATGTTACAATTTTTTCTTCTTTCTTTCTTTTTTACAAACTCTATATAGTTATGCATTTTCCAAATTTCCAACATCCCCTGTACTATCCTGAAGAGAAGGGAAAGAAAACATTTGATAGATGAAAACAAGTGTCCACTTGATTGTGTGAATTCAAGTGCGTCTTTGCATACGAAGGTATAGATCGCGAAACTTGAAAAGACCCAAGTGCCACGTGTCGTGAACTGCCTTTGGAGTGAAAAACTTGTCAGCGCCTTCTAGGTTCAGCCTGGTCCCGTAGCTCAGATATATAGAATTAGTTCTCGATTTTGGTGTACAATCAACTTTGCGTATAACGACACCCGGCGGGGCATCAGAAAAGTGTCGTCACTCGCAAAGTGTCCTTATACCCCAAGTGTACAGGTAGGCTGGACTTTGCTCTGGGCATGGAAATTCTGTCATTATTCGCGAATTGTCGTTATACCCGCAGTCGTTATTAGCGAAGTTGACTGTACTGGTCAAAATCTTTCGAAGGACAGGTATATCGAAATTCGAAGCAAACTTGTAGCAAACTAATGAATCCCGCTCAGTGCAATTCTCAACAAGAGGCAGACGCTAGCTGTATGCGAACTATACCTGTGATCATTGAAATCAGACCTAAATTGGATATTTGGCGCCCTCAACTTGCACGGCCCTTGACACCCCAAAAGTGTCATGAATGCTTCTGAACGCCACGCTACACATGTACGTACTCAGTGATGTACTGGGAACTAGTACAGGGTGCCAGCTTTGCACTTTGGGTCGGATTTCAGTGAGCGCAACTGTACATGTCCCATGTGCACCGAGTACTGTACATTATTATCCTGCTGACAGCATACACGTACATGTAGGGTAGAAATCACACTTGCATGCCGAGTGTAGGCCTGACCTATACAGCCCACAACCATCTACGAATACAAGGCGACATGCACGCGATCATGGTTCGTAGTACATCTGTCAGTCTACGGCACGCACAACACACACAACAAGAAAGGCTCACCGAAGCATTGGCTCTGATATGTGTACTTATCGATGAAAACCTTGGCACTGACAACTTCACCAAAGTTTAAGAACAGCTGGCAGAGGTGAAAATCCATAAAGTAAGCGGGAAGATTGTTGATATATATGTTGCAGCCTTCCGGTCCTGCATACAACAAGAAGAAAGTAAGGAATGAAGTGGAGATGACGTTTCGCATAATACAGTACTTCCCCACATATAAGCGCATGGGCTTATATGTGAACATTTGCCACAAAAAAGATCTTTTTGCTGTGTGAACATGTTCGGATAGGAGCTCATGCACTTACGTGTGCACTAAAGGGTTGTCTGTGTCCTAAACAACGGTGTTACCACAATGCTCAGCTGTATATTCAGCTCCCGGTTGTTTCACCAATAGTGTTCACCTATAAGCGCAGGCGCTTATTAAGGAGGGGGGGGGGGGTGCGCTTATGTCCGGACATAAGCGCATGCGCCTCTATGTGCGGAAGTATGGTAACAACGACCCCGTAAAGTTAAGTAAAGATGACCCAGGCGTATACCGCACACTGGTGCGAAGTATTGCCGCATACCTGGGCAGTGCGGCATTTCCGGGGGAGGGGGATGGGTGCAATGTGCTAATTGCAGAGCTTGCGTTTCCATAAGCAGACATACCATGTTTGCATGCAGTGTCCACACTGGCACACCACACCTCACTTGATCCAGTGTCAGCATACGCGTTGTGCTTGTTCAAGACAAATGCTAGCCGTGTTCCGTCTATTATTTTCTACACACCTCACAAAATACTTATAGCAGCTCACTGTGTAACGATGCAGTAACCATGGCAACAGAGACAAGAGATAGGGATTTCTGGGGGAAGTCCTGTAGCTGTTGCTGTCCTGCAGTCGAAAGCGGCGGAACCAATGGCTCAAGAACTCCATGACTTTCCAGGATGCAGTCCCTTGAGGCGTTATTTTGCAGGAGTGTCAAACACGAATTCATTAATGTTTCATTTTCTTTCCTTGTTGGCCATTCCAAAGCATCCTGTACTCTTCCTGTACAGCCTCCTAGAACACAACAACTTTTCTGATGACCTCCACTTGTGTATGCTTTTGTTTGAAACGTGCAGCAGCTGATATGTTGCTCCCGTTCACCTCCGTCCGGTCAACAACCATCAGTTTGAAACTTCACAGCTTGTTGAAAAACACCGTGATCCCAGTGTAGAAGATCCCAGGTTGATCATAACAGCTGCTCCAGAGTTACAGCAGCTGTGCTGGCTTTGGTGTATACACGGAATGTAACGGTATAGCGGTAGTACCCGGTACCAAATGTAAATAAGCTACCAAGAGTGTGGAACTCTGCATGCAGGGTCTCCGGCGGCGAAACTCACATTACGTATTCCAAGTACGATTAATTTTGTACTACTGTCGTGGACATGGAAATCCAGTCGATTGACGGGGGCCGGCACCCTCAGAGCGTACAGAACGTGACGTCGTTGCATGCAGTGCACATGTTGTAATTGATCCGATGCGACCAGCAGCGCATACATGCATGTGTTTACTGCTTACCTACGGCTGCATGGCCAGCACTCTGTGTGCGTTCGTGTGTGTGTGTGTGTGTGGGGGGGGGGGGTGTGATGGGGAGAAGGAGAGAATTGCTTACCTCGCATTTGAGGTTGGTGTGCAGCTGGGTTGGGGATACACATCAATGGCGGTCGTGGCACTGCTACAATAGGAGCTACGAACGCGGCTGCTGCTGCTGCTGCTGCTGTTGCTGCAATTCCACAGCACATGTGTACACATACATGCGTGCGCACACACACACATGTACACATACACACATATACATACACACATACACAAACACACAAACACCCACACACACATTATACAAACACAAACACACAAACACACACATACACACAAACACACACACGCACACGCACACACACACACACACACACACACACACACACACACACACACACACACACACACACACACACACACACACAAACAGACAAACACACACTAACACACAAAAAAACATGCGCACAGAAAGAAAGGGGGTAAGTGATCGAACATTACTAATGTCATCACGTGTATCACTATTGCTATACATAAGCAGTCAAATATATAAATAGGTGGAGTGGAGGTAATACGCGATGAATAATATCATGTGCGCAATCACATCACAGACATGGCAACCAAAGTAGTCTACTGTTTTACCCTGCAACTGAGGTGGTAGGTTCTGGTGAAGACTGATGTTGGCGCGACATTCCTGAGACTTGTCAAGCGCCATTTCCCAGAAGGATCTGCCCTCAGAAAAATATTTAACAAAAACACGCTCAAAGTCAGCTACAGCTGTTCGCCTAACTTAGCCTCGATAGTCAAGGGCCACAACGCCAAAGTCCTCAGACAGCCGGAAGAAAAGAGATGTAACTGCCGTATCAAAGCAAACTGCCCACTCAACGGGGACTGCAACGCCAGCGAGATAGTGTACGAAGCTACAGTGGACTCCAATCTCAGCCGGAAGAAGTATATCGGCATCTCCGAAACCCCGTTCAAACTCCGGTTCAACAACCACACGTCATCGTTCCGGAATGCCCCACACAGAAACAGCACAGAATTGTCAAAGCATGCATGGGCATTGAAGGAGGCAGGTGAAGACGTCAACATCTCGTGGAGAATCAGGCAGAGATCCAGCGCCTACAAAAGAACCTCGAAGCGGTGCAACCTATGCCTATCGGAGAAGATCGCCATAATGAAGAGTGACAAGGCATCGCTCCTCAACACCAGATGCAGCCTGGTCACAAAATGTCGCCACAGCACCAAGTACCTCCTATCGGAGGTGACCTGAACTGTAGACTGCGCTTGCTATCTGTTACACATACACAGAACTCCTGCTATCTAATGTGCATGCATCCTACTGCCACACTTCACTTTATGCACACCACCCGGCCTGCGCGATTGGTCACACCACCACACTTGCCACACTTATCTTCACCTGTGATTCCCACCTAGACTGGCCAGCGTGCTTCTTTTCTCCACCTGTGATTCCCACCTAGGGTGCGTCTTTTCTGGTATGTACAGGGATACTGATGTGAGAGAAGAGTAAGTTGCCTGAAGAGTGCTTTTGCACGAAACTCAGAGTAGCGACACTGAGAAACTTGGAGATCCTTTGTGTCTGAGTGTATATATATATATATATATATATACTCATATATACATACACACACACACACAAACACAAACACACACAAACACACACACACATAAACACAGACACACACACACCTTTGAAACGAGAGAGCTTGAAAGCTCAGGGCCCTACGCAATGCTTTTTTGCCTAGCTTATGATGCATGATTATTGGAACGGATGGAAATGTCTGGAGCGGTCTGGAGTCGACGGAATGCCTCTTCCGACGTTTCCTGCGACCGGCGCCGACGCGCCCATTCACGCTTATTTCGGGGGCAACAGGATCTCTCTTCCAAAGTCTCCTATGACCGGTGATGACTATTTGCATCGCGTTTTCTTTGTACCCGCCTGGATGCCTTCTCAGCGGTATTTTGCTGCCGACGCATCCTATCACGAATTCGACGGTTCTCCAACTGATGACGTCTTTGCTCCTTCGTTTCATGTTTTTCATGAACACAGCGACACTCGAGGCAGCCAGACGCCGTCAACCATTTCTTGTTCCCCGTTTTGTGTGTGTGTGTGCGTGTGTGTGTGTGTGTGTGTGCACGTGCGCTCGCGTATGTGTGCATGTGTCTGCATGTGTGTGTGCCTTCAGGCACGTGTGCGTGCTTGTGTTGGGGAAAAGGAGAGAGTTGCTTACCTTGCTGTTGAGGTTGGTATGCAGCTGGGTTGGGGTTACCCATCAAGGACGGTGGAGCTACGCCAGTGGATGCTGCTGCTGCAAGAGCTGCTGCAATACCACAGCACATTTGCATACATACATGCGTGCACACACACACACACACACACTCACACACACACACACACACACACACACACACACACACACACACACACACACACACACACACACACACACACATACACAAACACACACACACACACACACACTCACACACATACACACATAAACACACACACATGCCCCCCCCCACACACACGCACGCATACACACACACACACACACACACACACACACACACACACACACACACACACACACACACACACACACACACACACACACACACACACATGCCGCACACCTTGGAAATAATTTGACCTCCTGATGCCCATCGCCGGAGGCGATGATAGTGATGCTACATCAGGCACCATAGCAACTTGTGCTGGGATTGCACCATTCCACAGCTGGCAAGTCTGAAGTAATGACCACCACTACTCAGCTTTGTCTACACAGCACAGCTACTTGAAGTTGCTTTTCTGGCCAGTGAATCCCTACTTTTTGATCCTTTTGGTCCTATTTCCCCTTTATCTCCCGCACACACATCACACCACCTATGCACCAGTTGTTGATAACCACCCAGGAGAATGAAAGAAAATCAGGAGGAAAAAGAGAAGAAGGACGTGTGTGACAATAATCGTCGGCAATCAAAACCGCAACCTCTCGATTGGAAATCGACTACACATACCACTGCACCATATGCGTCAAACACACACACACACACACACACACACACACACACACACATATGCACACACACGTACACACACACTCACACACGGAATACCTTCCGGGTTCGAGACTGGAAAGCCGAATACCATAATAGCAATAACAATGACAAATCTCTCTTTTTTCCTCTCATCCACCACTGGCCTGCAAGACACGGTACACTTTCCAACGGCCAAAGAGAGTTGGAAAGCTTATGTCCTTGCTTTGCCATTGCCAAGCCACCGTGCTCACAGCAGAGACTTCTCTGTGTGTTATTGTTGTGAAAGTGGGCCACAATAACTGTAGCATTACCTTGTGCATGTACGCCTGAAAATGGTTGCAATGCCATATGGTCTGCAAGCTGCAACTCCCAACCAAAAGCATCAAGCACACAACGTAGCAAGGCAAGATTAGGTTTGTCCACGCACAAAACCAGAAAAGCACAAGGAGAGGCACACAAAAACAAAAGGGGAAAGAGGCACAAACGCACGCAAACACACACAGACCCACGCAAACACACACAAACACACACGTACATACATGTACATACATGTACACACACACACACACACACACACACAAAAACAAACAAACAAACACACACGCACACAAGTCAAGCAGGTAAGTGATCAAACATTACCATTGTCATCACATGAATCAGTCAGTACCCTATAAACTATCCACATCTCTTAATAACCCACATGTCCCAACTACTGCTTCTAGCAAACATGCTGTATGAAGCAAACTACATTTCTGGCCAATGGATTCCAGGGGCATAGCCAGGATCATGGTCAAGGGGGGTGCCCATAATTTTCTTCCAATAACGTTCTTTTGAGGAATCTTGTACATGTATGCATATTGTATGCATGCTACAGTCCATTTCAAAACTATAGACGCGTAGGGTTTTTGAAATGTTTCAAATTTGGCTGGAGCTTTTTGAGAATAGTTTTCGGAATATTGCTCAGGTCCGCTCCACAATTACTCTCATATAGTTTCTAGATAACAGACGCCCAATTTGGAAAAAATTATGCACAAAGTGATCACAGATTGTATGTAGTATAGATGCTGGCATAACGGTTTTTGCCTAGGTACGCGTCTATAGTTTTGAAATGGACTGTAGTGCGGTGTACACCTTGAATTATTGATGTATTATGAATGTCTCCAGCTTGCCATTCCAACAATCTACTTCCTCCGCGTCATTAAAATGGTTGCTTCCCAGAGCGATTTTTTGAATATATTTTGTCCACTCGAGGGGCAAAGAAATCAGCTAGAAATTGAGGCGGAGCATTGTCGACGGACCAAGCTTTAGTTTGTGGCCTCCCGCTTCGATGCACTTGCAGCTGAGGTTGACGTCTTCATCAGAGTTTGAGGCAGACCCTTCAGCACTCAACAATACGCTGAAGAAGACGCGCGTTCAAATTCAGGTCAAGAACCTTCGTTTTCAAGCGATCCATGCCTCCAGGTGGCAGGGGATGAAGGCAAGCTAGCATTTTTCAAGTACACTGTAACGACCTTCCAGCGGGGTAGGGTAAGCAGTTCCGCACCTTCTTTCCTTGGCAAGCGTTTCGCTGATTTTGTCGGTGTTTTCAGACCTGCTACCTTCGGAGCAACATGCGCCACAAGTAGCGCATTTTAGGAATTTGAGACCA